TCCTGTGAGATTATTCCGCTAAAATTAGGTATCCCACGGTAATTGGCTATGACTGTTTGAATTTTACCAGATTATTTTAATTTTACTAGATGTAGTAAAAACTAACATATCTAAGTCGCTTTTTGTAAAATATACTATATATATTTTTATTAATATATACTAGCTGACCCAGCGAACTTCGTATCGCCATAAAAAAATTGGGGTTGGTGTTAAAAAGTTGAAAATTTAGGGATGATTTTTGTATGTATTATAAAAAAAAATATCTAAAATTGAAAAAAAAAATTAGGGGTGGATTACCTTTAACATTTAGGGGGATGAAAAAAGATGTTGTCCGATTCTCAGACCTACCCAATATGCACACAAAATTTCATGAGAATCGGGAAAGCCGTTTCGGAGGAGTTTAACCACAAACACCGCGACACGAGAATTTTATATATTAGAATATATATAGTATATTTGCATTATATTTGAGGCAAGTAAAAGGAGATACTGAATTCAAATTTGTTTTTACTGAATAACTTATTTGACCCTTTATAATTTACTTCAGTTAAAATCGATTATCGGTGCTTACTCTTTTCTTCCACTGTAATTTAGTAGCGTTAGTCATCGTTAGTTTAAAATATTTAACTCCAAAATCCATGTTTAACCGTCTCTTCCGTACACAGATCGCGCGCTAGCGAGAGAGTTGCTCACTTTTCATTGTTGAATCGCGCTGGGCAATACTGTTATTCTTATGTTTAACTAGCTGTGTCCCACGGTGTTACCCGCGGTTTATTAGGAATATTTTCCCGCAGTAAAACGTAGCCTATGTGTTAATCCAGGGTGTCAGCTAACTCCATACCAAATTTTATTGAAATCGTTCCACCCGTTTAGACGTGAAGAAGTAACAAACATACACACTCACACAAACTTTCGCCTTATAATAAATAAAAATATACCCGAAACATACTTATTAAATCCCAATGAAGCATGTAGGGGTCAACTCCCCAAGCAAAAAAAAATACACGGCATTCCTCAGAGTGCAATGTGCTGATTTATGATTTTGATTTTTTTCTTAGTTAAATAGGTACTTCGCAATCTTGGCAAAAAAAGATTTATTGAGTAATGGGTTCTACTCCATAAAATAAAAAATACGAAGCAGTATTTTATCATCACGGTGACCTGTCCTCGAACCTAATTCCTCTCGTAAAATTACTCCCTCTGTAGTTACATTTATTTTTTGGATTGAAATTAACTTTTATAACTATCTATACTTCTATACTTAATATTATAAAGAGGAAAAGTTTGTATGTAAGTATGTTTGTAACGAAATGGCTAAAAAAGTACTGGACCGATTTTAAAATTCTTTCACCATTTGAATGCTACATTATCACTGATTAATATAGGCTATAGTGTATTTACAAAAAAGTTAGGGTTGCGTATGAAAACTTCGATAATGTAACCCAACGTGTGTAAAATATACCAAAAATAGCCTTATATCGCGTACTCTCCCGAAGTCATTGATAATAGAGCAAAGTGATGTACTAAAGTTTTATAGAAGATACCAATATCTACAAAAAAAGTCCTCGATACCATATATCTAACTATTACAGTTATGTCACAACGAGAGGTCCCCTGCGGTTTCACCCGCGTTAGTCCGATAATCGATTTTAGCTGAAGTAATTTATAAAGCGTCGAATAAAAGTTATTAAGTAAAAACAAATTTGAATTCAGTGGTGCAAATTCTGACGTGATTCTCTAAACTTAAAACTAAATTTAACATCAGTTTCTCGTTTTCATTCTGTATAAAGAATGACAAGGATATACTGCTATCAAATTTAAGTTTAGGTTTAGAGAATCATGCTAGAACCGACACCAGTATCTCCTTTTACTTGCCTCAAATATAACGCAAATATACTATATATATATTGCAAAAAGCGACTGAGATATGTTAGTTTTTACTACATCTAGTAAAATTAAAATATCTGGTAAAATTCAAACAGTCAAAGCCAATTACCGTGGGATACCTAATTTTTAAGCGCAATAATCTCACAGGATATTTACTCTAAGAATAAGGAAATTTAATTAGATTCAAAGTAGGGAACCCTTCTATTACAAAGGCGATGTTCTTGGCAATATTTCGGTGGCAATTTTTTACCATTTCGGTAGACACTTTTCATTCTAGTGGACTCCCGAAAACTTGTCCTTTAATATTTCAGTAAGTGATGATTATTGAATTTGACCCATAGGATCGTTTTAAAATGGAAAAAAACGAGTATCAACATATTATTATTTTTTTATTATTTTGCACCTTTTTTGCATTTTTTGCAAAAACTATGGGAGAAACGCGAAAATATGTTGATACCTTTTTTGTAGGAAATAAAATTATATACAACTTTGTACTAGGAACTTTTTCTATTTTCCCAGCCAGTCGCGAGATATTGACGAATAACCCGTTTTTGCACCATTTCGCAATGTTTTTGCACTCTTTGCCGTCAATGCAGCACCCTGCAATTTTAGTATATTAATCTACGAACAATTACGGAAATTTTCGTGTTGGTTCCAGGACTTCCAGGTGATCAACTCAAAATGGCAAGTTAAGCTTTCATTGACTGGATCAATGTTCCGTATGTTGCAAAACGCTGCAAAAATAGATGTTACAAATTGATAGGAACAACTTAATTCCAAATTTGCAGCGTGTTACTAATTTTTTTACCCTTGTTATTAACAAATTTCATTGTTTTTTTAATAATAAACAATGTTCCGTATATTGCAAAACGCTGCAAATTCAATACACGTTAGATAACGGTAAAAACAACCTTATTCTAAATTTGCAGCGTGTTACTAATATTTTTGGCAATTTTATTAACAAAAAACACTTTTCAACCCTTTCCGTATAACCCAGAACGCTGCAAAATCACCCGGTAAGTTATTTTACCTTCTTTCGAAAACCCTCAAAATTTCAGCAAGTTACTAATTATTTCCGGGTTTAAGGCTTTAATGACTGGCCTATACCTTAAGAAATGTCTCACACAGAGAACATTTACCTTATATTTTCTCTGTTAAAAACTTAGATTAAAACAAAAAGGGTAGATACGGAACGCTCATACTTGCATCAAACAAAAACTGATCCCACGGCAGCGCGAACGGGACGGCGAGATCCGCGTCACTGCATTACCGACCCGAACGAAACAGCACGTTCAGTTTCAACGGCAGCGCGAACGAGACGGCGAGATCCGCTTCACTGTATTACCGACCAATCACGCGACCAGTACTCGACGTCACTACCGAATAAGATTCAAAAGAAACAGCAATTTTTATGAAAATATATATTTTATAGTATTTACGAATGAAAAGTGATGCCGTGGGTTTTATTTTTAATTCTTGAGCAATTTGAGCACTTTTTAAAAACACACTTAGGCATTGTTTTATCATATAACATACATCATATTCACATGTACGTCGTTTGCATGTCAAGTTGTGACTAAAGCGATTAGGATCGTGGACCACAATTCATGCGGATCACTTTTGTGAGGCTAGTGTAGTAACAAAAAGGGTAGATACGGATCTACCCTTTTTGTTTTAATCTAAGGTTAAAACTACATCTTAGGTCCACTTGCACGAAAATTCTTTACTTGTGTTAAGGCTAAATCGTGTTTAGCACATCATTCCATCTTTGTTAATTGTAAAAAGTCTAAAAAAGATAGAATGCGGCTTAAACCCTATTAGCTTTTAAACTTGAATTAAGAACTAGCCTAAGATTTTTTTTTCTGTTTTGCTCAACGAATTACAATGATATGGAAGCATTACCTACAACAAAGGCCGCTAAAACACGGTTCCAAACTAATACAACTAAACTGCAATACTAACTGGCCATTTATTCACTGGCATGACACACAAACAGACAAAACAAAATACTTTGACAAATCAAATATCTGCAAATGAATTCGGCTATCCGTTTATTGGGTAAGATAATGTTTGAATCTAAATAAAAGTTTACTAGAAAAAAATCCACGCGGACCAGGCAGCGGACGGGACTCGAACCCGCATCCTTCGCTATCCGGGCAAATGCACTGACCATTATGCTACCACGACCCTATTCGCCGCGTCGAAATTTTCCTATCCTTAAGCTGCAAGGCAGCGCCATCTCTTCGCATTGTAGGTAACCCACAATGTCAAATGAATACTTTTTCAAGTATTAAACATTTGAAAGAAGAAATAGCAATTATAGTTATGTTTTTATTTATTTTTTTAAGCATTTTACTGCTAGATGTTTAAATCTAAAGAAAAGTTTACTAGAAATAAAATTCATTTGACATTGTGGGTTACCTACAATGCGAAGAGATGACGCTGCCTTGCAGCTTAAGGCTAGGAAAATTTCGATGAGGGGCGTGGTAGCATAATTGGTCAGTGCATTCGCCCGGATTGCGAAGGGTGCGGACCGTTCGAGTCCCGTCTGCTGCCTGGTCCACTTGGATTTTTTTTGTAGTAAAACTTTTCTTTCGATTCAAATATAATTATGTTTTATTGTAATAACAACGTGGTAATTAATTTTTGGTGAAATTTCTTCACAAGTAATCGTTGCATTCGATTCAACTTATCGGCTTTCGCTTTTTAGAGTAACATCCCTAGTGTTTAAAAAGAAAAAGGGTTAACTAACGCAACATTGTAAATGATGTTCAGTTTTTTATATCAGAAATTGTTTATTAAGTTTAGAATGGTTTATTAGTAAAAGCAAAAGGTAAAATTACTCGTATCGGTCATTATTACAATAAATATAAAATCGTAATAGAGTATTTTCCAAATTTTTGAAAACTTATATTTAAAGATTGGGACAAACGATTTAACAGAAAAATTAAAATAAATTAATTAATGTCTTTTTTTCTCCATTAAACCAATTAAAGTTGAATTTATTTTTAATGGATTTGAATTTACCGCCAAAACGCTCGGTTCGGTGACGTCTACTGTGTGACGTCAACTTTGTGTATGCTATGTAATCTGAAAGTCAAATTATTAACTTTTTTTACGTTCGGGATAAATTTATAGAAGGGTAAAATATTTTTCAGTTTTATTCTACCATTTTGTCGGCGTGATCGATAAACATAGGTATATACACAGTTGCAGCTCTCTAGTGCTAATAGACTCCAAGCAAAACCGGGGACGGACACGACGAAACTATAAGAGTTTCTTGTCAGGAACTACGGAACCCTAAAAAATCATCAAATCGGACTACCCTGTTATAAATTACAATCAGTGAGTGAAGAATCAATTATCCTCTGTTTCCTACCCTAAGGGTAGGATTTTTTTTCCGAATTTGGGACCAACTTCGTATTATATCATTTCCAATAAAAAAAGAATTATCAAAATCGGACTACTCTGTAAAAAATAAGCGTGATCATACATAAAACATATACGCGTCGAATTGGTACCTCCTCCGTTTTTTCGCCGGTTGATAAGATCTCGTTCGCATAGCTCGTTCGTTAACCATAAATAGGTATCAAACTTGTGAAATCCATTGAGATTATAAACTTAAGCATCCGTCAAGTAAACAGCAGCAGTATGTGTCTATCACGGGTGTCAACATCATTTCACGATATTGCACAAACTCCAATAATTATTTAATTTAATGTAACAAAACGTAATGATAGACGATGTCGTGTACTACACTTCGTTGCTGGTATGCATCAGTCTCAGTACCTGCTACAGGAGAATCGATGATCCTGTGGCAAAACGGAACTACGGCGCAGGCCTCGGCATACTGGTGGCCTGCTTGGTTTGCGGATGCCACATATACCACTCTGTATTCATAGTGTGGGGTAATGTTATCATAATAAAATGCTGCGACAGAAGGTGAGCTCTATTCTTATATCATAAGGCAGTTCCCATATTTAATCTGAGGTTCCCAGATGCGTATTTTGAAATCTGGCATCTCGTCCATTTACGTTTGCATCCTCGCCACCTTGATTTGATTTACAAATTGTAAATTTGTAAATCAAATCAAAATATAGATCATTAACGAATAAAATTAAGTTTATATAGCTTTTGCTGCCCCTTGCAGCCTGCCGACCCGGGCCATGGCTCGATTGAAAAATTATTGCGCTCCCATACATGGCACCGTGTGTATTCTTTACGGTTTTTTTTTAATTTCGATTGAACCTCCTCGGAAGCTCTTTTCTATATATTTTCACCAACCGCACGTGGTGGCGTAAAGAAAAAAATTGCTTCATTACTTCAATTATGTGTTATGTTTTCTTGCAAATGTGTTGAACAACCGTGACTATGGTAAGCCCTCGGCTTCGTCTTGGGCTTACATTCGTCTACTCGTTTGTAATAACCAACTTAAAGCACTAATATCATAAGTAACTATTACTGTAACTACTTAACTTCCTAACCACTGTTTAATTTTTCAGATACGTACATCAAATGAGCATGTTGTACACATGGACCTATTTACTATATTTACATTGCAATGCACTTCCATTATACGTTATGTGGATGCACCAGACGATGGCTCTACGTTTAGTAGGACTGGCCTTCGAAGTGAATTCCTTAGTTAAAAACAATAACTCGACTGTACCATCAAGTACAGTAAGGTTCGCGGATGATGCTAATGCACTCACAGCAGTGCCCAACGCGGTTGATATTATTGCTTACTCTTATTACTTCATTGGATTACACAAAGGTATAAATACCTACCTACTATTAATTAACTGACTATTACACGACTTGGTCCAGTAAGCTCGCTAGCTCAGTCTCCCAATTTGACGCATATTCTTGCGCGTTATTTTTTTATATTCTTTCGTGATTTTCTTCTGATATCTCATTAAATTACCATAGCTAAACACCGTTACTCAGCATTGAAAGTTCCAAAATACTAAATAAATCTCTCCTATACAAATAAAAATTATAAATAAAAAACAATGTTTCGAGGTCCTAAAAGCTTCAGAAGGCATTCGTTTAGCCTTTGATCCCGGCAACATCTGCAGTCGAAACATTTGTCAATCCGCACTTCTTATTTCAGGGGTACTCCATGTTACATCCATACCAATTAGCTACTGCAATATTAATAAGCTGATGACGATGATTCATACGTATATTCTTTATTACAACAGGGCCGTATTACAGATGGATTATATACTACGATCATCTGTCATCATCGTTTGGAGATCTAGAAGATTGCAGGATCATCACCGTACATAAACTAATGAAAGCAGCTGTATTCTTCTTGATTAATGGAATGTTAAAAATGAAATTTCCGGTAAAGGTACCTACACTTGCTATCTGTATAACCACGGTCCACTGTAACTCACACCAGTTATAAAGAAAACTCGAAGCGGTAATATTTTGCCGTCCGTGCTGTTGAATTTTTTCTTTATGTGTATATGTGTTAATACTAGTGGCCCGCCCTAGCTTCGTTTCAGTGTAGAGCTGAAGTGTGGACTATAGTTTTTGTTCCTAGGCTTGTAATTTACAAAATGAATTTCTTTATATAATTATAAATCTTCCATGAAAATTTATTTAACTGATAGAGAAAATTTTGTTGCGTAGTTTCGGACCCGTTTAGCTGTACCGAATGCACGATTTTTTTTGTAGAACGCGCAAATCTCACTCCTAATGGTCCGATTTGAAAAAAAAAATACTCTGGTCACCTTTAGGGAAGTGGACGTGCAGGGAAATAGACTTTCAGAGAAGTGGACGTCGACAAGTAGAAATAGACTATCAAGAAATTGGAAGTTTGACGAAATAGATCTAATGAACCGACTGGACATTCCGGTGATAGGACCTTACCTGCTAAAAGGCGTTTGGCACTGCAAGAGTCCATGGACACTTGCCATGGGCGGCAGTGACCACTTACCATTAGGTGGACTGACAGCTCGTTTGCCTGCATAAACATAAAAAAGGTTTTCTTCGATTCTCACAGATATATTTTGAAGACGAATTCTACACAGAACATGGTTCTGACTACCGTTACCTTTATAACGTTCCGCAACTACTGATGTTCTTCCTACAGTACCAAATACTGATGATGCTGTGCACCAGCATCTGCACAGAAGCTGGTTTCGGAGTATACCCTGCTAAATGCGAAGCCCTACCGGGTCTGGGGCCTTCCGCTACGCTCAGTGTTTTGAGATTGACGTGAGTTATATAATATAATTATCAGAAATGCTTCAAAATACTTTTTATGTTCTGCGGAACTTAATTATATAAACAAAAATAGACATCATCAATTAGCCTTCTAGATAGAACGAATCATGACCTATCACGCGAAGCGCTGCCCATTGCGGATTATTGCGTGTTCTAAAAGTGGAACACTTCAAGATTTTTTGCAACCTACGTAGGGTCATATCAACCTGAATGAGGGCTACCATTTTCTGTCTCACCAGATGGCGCCAGTGTTGAGTGAGGTCCTAAATTGTAACTTTTAAAGTTTATTAATACGCACATGATCAAAGGTTACATTTAGATCGTATTTTAACACAAAAGAACCGTATCCTAAACATAATAGGCCATGCCACAGTGACGCCCAGTTCCGTTTTATTCGGAAAAAATGGAAACATAATCATTTTTCTAAGCTCAAATTTTTAATAACTGAATTCATTGCCACATAACTCATATTTGCCATAATTAAGCCGAATTGTTACCAATTATTCACAACATTATTTTAATAAGAAATAAACCCGCGTAGTCAACCAACAAGCAATAACATTTGACATTTCGGAGTCCTCACGCTATACTAGCGCCTCTAGTGGCGGATTCATACGCGATAGCCCTCATTAGCCACCCACGCACATACCTACATCACTACCTAAAAGGTTTCTTTCTGCTCCATTCTGATTTGTCTATATAGATTACTCGTCTTCAACGAATGAACTTGCTCATCACAAAGTGCGCAACTGCTCCTTAGCGACGAATGTAGGTCGTCCGGATCGGTCTCCTTTAGCATAGTTATTAGCTATGAGTTGATCGGAACTCATTGCTACCGACTCATGACGGCTGTTACCGTGTGTAGCGCAAATTATTAAATTCTCACTATACAGTGGCGCACACAGAACACAGAAAGAGGTGTGTTCTGTGGTGGCGCACAACCGCTTTAAAGTACTCATCGCACGTACAATAATTAACTACAATGTTAATTTAACATAACTACTTTTTGATAAATTTATTCATTTGTAAAGTTCTGATTCATAAGTACCTAGGAAGGTAATATTATGTTTGTTGCAGCCGAGGAGACCCAAGACTCGCATTAGAGCAAGAATACAACTTCGCAATGCTAAAGTGTTTTGACAATACCAAACTAATAAAAGGTCCCAAGATGAAGGACACTCTGAGGGGTTGGGATATGCCAACAAGATATTGGTTTTGGTCGAATATATACAAGAACCTTCTAAAAGCTAGTAAAGAAGTAAGGTACGGAACTATATCTTTCTAACCGTCCCCGAGTATATGTATTTCCAGCTCTGATGTACCCGTACTGTGTACTTAACTTGTATGTAAGTAAAAACCAAATTTTTACATAACGGGGTTTATGTGATTTATAAGTGTACAAGCACAAAAACTGTTGACGAAAATGAGTTAGTGGAGCGGTTTCATTATAATCACATAGGTAATTGTTTTAAATAGATGGATGCAAAATTGTGTCACTCAAGAAAGGGTGCTGCTATGGACTAACGTTAACAAAATAATCCAGCCAATGGTGTCGATTCTGGCAGGATTCTCTAAACTTAAAACTAAATTTAACATCAGTCTGTCCTAGTCATTCTGTATAGAGAATGACAAAGATACACTGTTGTCAAATTTAAGTTTAGCTTTAGAGAATCATGGCAGATTCGACATCAATGACAGAAATGCTTAGCTTTAGTCGGTGTTACTTCGTTACCAAAAGTTCTAGGGACTTTCAATAAACATAAAAAAACTTAATATTGTACTTAAAGAACCGGCCAAGTGCGAGTCGGACTCGCGCACCAAGGGTTCCGTACAAACTCAATTTAATACCTCTACGCGTTCATGAAAAAAGGGTAAGTAACTTTAAAATTTTCAAAAATATTTTTATTATATTATGATGTAACTAAAAAATTACGGTTTTCGCAATTTTTCCTTTATCTGTACTATAAGATGTTAACTTCATACCAAATTTAAAGATTCTAGTTCACGGGAAGTAGGTACCCTGTAGGATTCCCGTGCGAGTTTCGAAAATTTGCGGCATAAACGGCTGTATCTTTTGATTGCTTTGGCTTAGAAGTTTGATTTTTTCACAGCTCCAAGGGATTCGTAGACACGAGTATTAGATATCAATTTCAGTGTGATACCTCCACTCGTTCCTGAGATAAACGGTCTTGACAGACGGACGGACAACAAAGTGATCCTATAAGGGTTCCGTTTTTCCTTTTGAGGTACGGAACCAACGATATTAAATACCCTAGATACACCAACACGAAGAAAATCGTGCCCGAAACCGTCCGGATAATAAGAGAGAAAACCGGATACGTCGAAAAAACGACACTTTTCGTACTCTAAGTATTATTTTCGTATTTTTTCGCGGAGCTCTGTGGCATCTTGAGTTTGTAACGGTCCGTGCGTGACTGTGAACCAAGAAGTGCTTGAGTGGAGTTCAAGCACTTCTTGATTGGGACACATTTTGAGCGCTCGTGGTGTATCTAGGGTATTTATTATCGTTGTACGGCACCCTAAAAATAGCCATACATGATTTATAGGTAGGTTACTTTTGCCATATAGCTCTATGTTATTAGAATTTAATAACAGAATTACTGAACAAAATGCATGTTTTATTAAGTGAATTGATAACTTCTACAATGGAACAATTTTGGTTATTAGGAGTGCAAGTTCTTTCTTCGCTTGGACAGTCTGGTGCGGGCCCACATTGCGTAGAATCATCGCCTCTGCAACTCTTTGGGTCTACATTCATCTCGAGGCTGAATACAGCAATGTTTATAACACTACCGGTCAGGTGAGTGAGTGAATGCCTTCAGTAAGTAACACGACGATTTATGTGGTTAGGAACACGAATATAGGATAGGTTGGTGTTACTTACAGCTACAGGTGACAAGATTTCGGTTAGGTGTTTTAGTTAATATTTCATTGCTGGATATAATGTAACTATTGGGAATAAAGGACACATTCTTCTTAAGATACATTTTCTTATTGGATTATACTTACACCCCCTCTGTTGTTAAGGTCTAATGGTAATAGGTTCTTTACCTACCCTTAATCCCGAGATCTGGCAACTTTCTCAAAAAAACTTTGAAGATGATGTTTTTACTACTTTTTCATAATAAGTGAAGTGTGGCTGGCTTGCCATTATAGAGATTTGTGACCGAGCTAGCCCGAACTACGGCTAGGGCACCTTCGATGGAGGTTTTGGAATTATTTTTATAGCGACGGGCACAGGAGCCCCCCAAGACTCGGCGACTGTGTTACTGTGTAGCGTACACAGTCGCCGCCGTGCACTGCAATATAGGCAATATTATTTCCTTTTGAATTGTCCCATCAATTGTTGCCTAAGGCTCAATTAATATCATTGCGGAATGGAATGCAAGCGAATTTTTTGCAACGAAATTACAGCATAATTAACTTTGTCAATAGGGAATATATGCATGTATAAGTCGCGGCACGAAACTCTCGTGCTGACCGTTATTGCGCAGAAGTAAAAATTAAGATGTCTTGAGGGGAAACGAGGTGCGCGGGTTAGCGTGCGCAAGCATGGGTACCACTAGAGAGTCAATCGGCGCAATCCCCTCCGCGTCTTGTTCCTACCTACTTCATGTATACCTACTTCAAATAAGGCTCGAATTTATTTACGTATCCCCTTGTGGATGATTACTGCCATGAGTTGAGAAAATTATTTTCTTATTTTCATTTTTCATATTTTGCGTTTTATCGTATGGTTTTTAATTAACACATCTTATATATAGATAAGTTTGTAGAGAACCTATTTAGGATTGATTTAAGTCATAAATGAAGTCTGGATGTACAGTAGAACTCGAATAATAAGAGGAAAATCGGTCGATTTTTTTTCGGTCCTGATTCTTCACCCATATGCAGACCAGGAGATATAAATTCTATTAATTTTGAATTGTCACTCCATCATTATTTTTTAACAAATTTTCTTTTTAGTAAGGAATTAACTATTGCATAGTGCGAAAACTTTTGGGAAATTCAAATACTTATCTGAAACGCGACAAATCGGTTGTGACGTAGAGATTCATAGCAACAAATCAACACACAAGCGTCATGTTCCTCCTATCATCCTCTAATATAAATAAAAACCTCTAAATCTAACTGTGGACTTGTTTGTCTTGTTGCTAGGTTGCTTTGAACTGTGAAGTCACGTCACAACACATGTTCCAAAATAGCGTGCTTTAATAATGCCCGTGTAATGTGGCTATTTTAACATTATTTTTGATACAATTCTCTATTTTTTCAACGTTATAAATTCCCTTAATATACTAAGGCAATGTAAAGTACTAAATAAAAATATTAAAAAAATATCATGCATATTCCTTTTGTATAACATGGAAAGTTTGAATGTTAACCGAATCGTTTGTATTATAAACTAATACGAGCCGACACAGATATCATCATCAGATATTTAATATCCTACAGATGGGACACTGTCTGGACCCGTTCAGATAGAGAATAGGGACAACGGGCGAATGCGGATTGGTGGATGTTAAGACTGCTGATGCAGCTGGGGTATATAATTTCCAACCAGTAGCGTATTCCGTATTACACTAAAAATGGAAAAATAAAATATTTTTTAATAAAAAAAAATCAGTTCTACATATAAAAAAAAAAATATTTATATAATAAGTATATAAAAAAATACTTTACTCAAAAAAATCTGAAAATGAAATACTTAAATTTACCAACTGATATATTTGAAGTTGATAACCAGACAAGTGTTTGGCAGAGAGATCATGATAATGGCATCGACTTTAAATATAAGTCGGTAAATCTTATATTTCATTTTAATTTTTTATAATAAAAAAATCTTTTCTTTTGTAGTTGAAGACAGCTTGGGACATCGGGTTTTCTATAATGCGCCTGTTTTGCCTGATTTACCTCACGCCTTGCTTTACTATCAGCGACACGAAGATCGTTCTCAAGTATTACAATTCTATGTTTTGGATGTTCCACTTTCTGTTACTGATATTAATTATTGGCGTCATAGTGGCTCAGAAGACGAAGCAGACCTCTAGATCCGGAATGTTTTTATAAGTATTATTATTTGGACAGTAAACTTTAAAGCATAATCAAATATGGCCTTAAAACAGAAATGTGTACCTATTTGTTTTTAGTATTATGTAAACGTTTACAATGATTTAGTATTAACTTTGGAATTTCATTTATAAATATTAAGGCACGTTGTTGATAAAACGACTATTGAAATGTGGTGTATTTTTAAAGGATGTCCGTCAACCAAATATTATTTTTTATCAAAAAACCATTTCGCGTTATTTAATAATATTCATGGAGTCCATAAAAAGTGTTTTTTTTAATTCTGTTGTGTAATTCAGTAAAAAAACTAAATTAGAAATGTCAACTGTCATAAAATCGTCAAACGATTTGAACGTTACAATGCAATATCAGTTTGGCCGGAAGTATGTTAGCGTGTGACGTCATTTTAGTCTTGGCCAATCCCAGGCGTTTTCGGTCACGTGTCCATGAAGCAAAAAAATCATTTTATTCAATGTTTTTTTTAGGAATGTTATTATTTTTTGTTTTTTTTCAGAATAACAAAATCTCTGTTATTATTCATATTAAATAACAGATGCAAACACCAATTGTTAGATTATTACATAAACTATCAAATAACCTATTCTCGCATTTTAATTTATGAAATAAAATGTTAGTACAAAGAGGTTAATGCAATGAAATAAACAGGTACACTAACAACAGAGATAAATTTATTTTAAAATAATAATAAATAATTATTTTATTGATTTGTTAATTATTAAGTCAATTCATCCAAGCGAATGTGTCATTACAAATTATAAAAAGAGATTAAGTTTTAGATTGCATTTTGTGACTTACACTAAGATCAACATTATAAATCTTGTAGAAGGAACGAACGGTACTTATACCCTTTATTCCAAAATTTGAACTAAAGTTAGACGCGGTTTAAACCTTATCTGTACCCATAGCAAGAACCAATATCGAATTCGAAAAGTTATAAGATCTCATCGTTTCATTAGATCAAGAAGATTTCTATGGAAATTAAAACCTGCTCCACAACGGATCGATATTGATTCGTGCTAAGGGTACTGGTCCTGATTCTGACAAGATTTTCTAAAATATCTTAAACAAAATTTGACAGTAATATGTTCTTATTATGCTTTATAGAGAATGATAATGACAAACTATGAGAATCATGGTATGGTTTGGACCATTGATAAGGTGTTTTTAATTAACGTTTTTAAGCGGCAATAGCAACACCATAAAACTAACATTATAAAGCGAAAGATTTGATCGATTGATTAATATACAATTATGAACACTTTAGATATAAAAATCCTAAATTATTATTATTTTATCTATTAAATAACATTCGGTATTCCTATCACAGACTAACTTAATGGAAGACATTTTTGGTCGCATGATTAAATAGACCACATGTGTCTTATTCAGTATCAATTTGTATTAGGAACGAATATACTGTAAATTGTAAGTACAACAATATAAAACAGTATGCAGATTAAATAATAGTGACCATACCGTTCTCTTATCACTTTTAATATTTTAAGTCAAAAGAGTCAGATTACATTTTGAACTTAAAATTTAATAAGTATTAGAGTATTTAGACAGACCCAATTAAGGTACAAGTCCGAACTGAACCGCAGACCCTAGGCCGCAGCTGCAGACTGCAGGCGATACTAGTTTCTATGAATCTCTATGAAATTTATTCCGGAAGTTCGTAACAGGAAATCGCGAAAGCGCTCTATTTGATTTTATTTTAGAACATAATATTCAAATGGCTTATTCCTTTTGTAGTAGGTTTTATTTCTTTTTTTACTAATATAAGGTGAGGTTTCAAATGTTACACATCATACGCGACTACTGTAAGGCTCGCTGGTTTTGTTTAAATTTATTTTCTTTCGTTGTCATGAATATTGAAATCTGTTAAAAAAAAAGTAGTGTTGGAAAATATTGCTAGACAAAAAGAGATAACACTATACTCTCGGTACTCGAAGGTAATGGAGTGACTGAGGCATGGTAATATGCATTGTGCAGCCGCAGCATGTCGCCGCGCTCGGAATAGAAGCTGCCACGACCGCAGGCAGCACTGCGGTCAGCCGCAGTGTCGCCTGCGGTTGTCGTCTGCAGCCCATTGCGGAATTGTACCTTTAGTCGACCCTATTGATCAAAGATACCAGTTGATGGGCCTGTGATTAGCCTTTGACACATTTTGTAAGCGCCATCGACGGTCAACTCGAAACGCACGATTTACGCTACAATTTTGAACAAATTGTATTTTCTTCCGAGACAACAAATGCCATATAACCGCTCACTAAATCTGGGTACCTACGCGGAATGTATATACCTATTTAATAAGCAATAACAATATTACCACATTAACAAAGCAACAAGTACCTATTTATTATTTTTCTTAGGTAATAACTTCTCACAACGTCTACACATAAAGTTACAATATTAAAGTAGGTTTGTCGCTACAGAAAAAGTTATGGTGTAAGTCTTTGAAACAACCTACCGGCTTCTATAAAAACTATCATCGGTAACAGATAAGTTAGCCAGAATTCTAACTCGAATGGCGAATGGCTCCTCTACACCATGGGCCATGATGGCCGAATACAGGTGATCACGAACGTTTCAAGGGCATAATCGCTTGTAATTGTTTGATTAACAATGATCGACCGTGATCACCGCTGTGATGATGACCGCTGACAATTTTTTGGACAAACATCAAAAGGAAGGTCAGCCATGATTGCGCGCGTGCCCACACGTTGCTGAACTGAGTGAATTCAAGTTTGGCTTCGGAATGGATACCAATTTCAGGATACATACACGGAATGTGTTTAATGTAGGACTAACATACTTCTTCTTCAAATAACAAATGTATGAACGTCGATCGTGTGGAGACAGCTGCACAATGATGGTATCGATCATGGCCAATTTTGTGATGGTCCATCTTGGCCAATCGTGTAGAGGAGCCATTAGGTTATTGATATATCAGATTCCGAAAATGAGCGGGGTTTTAAAATGTTCGTGAAAATATAAAAATAAAATGATTCATTGACTCTCAGAACCTATTTTCGACATTAGTTTTGTAAATTACTGCTAATTGGAAATAATGATCAACTTACAGCCAGTTTCAAAAATCAAACTCCAGTAAGAGGTCCGGTCGGTCTGTTCACGTACAATGGTCCACTTAAGGATTAAGTGCGAAAAACCATAACCTTTAATATATAACATAACCAGAGAAGAGGTAGGTCAACTAGAGCTTTATTGCCTAGATATTTTTATTATCTATTATATGATAATAAAATATCAAGACTATAATAACAACTGAGGAGCTGGCGAACAAAACGGTATAATTATGCATCTGGTTAAACTACTTTTCTTCACAGTCCGGAGGTTTCAGGCTAGTTCAATTTGAATCTAAAATAATTTTCAATCAAAACCGCCTAAGCAGTGTTAAAATATGTACTTAGTTTATGAATTAAAAGCCATGCAAATGGCAAACTATAGGTATGTCATTCAGTTTTATACAGCTCCTCACTGTTATGTGATATTTTGAAACTGGTCGTTAATAAATAAAACATATCTTTGACTGCTGATATAAGTAGTCTAAATTTTGTTATATTACGACCACATTATTTCCCATATCACAAAACACCTAATGCTTTTCCCCACGCTACTGATTATAGCTGGCCATATATTAAGTAACTTAATGATCTTATTTTCTAGTTAAATTGTATTAATGTTAAGTTGTATGTCTTTTACAATTTCACTACTTTTATTCAATGTGTTGTAGATGGCCAAATAGCCGATTTTAGTATGGCGCTTGCAACAGTACCGAAATATCGAAGACTCGTAAAAAGCAAGGTACATGGTAACAATCCCGTTAATAGCTATAATGTTAGTGACCATGAAAGTTTAAAACAATATATCGATTTTATTACTTTTAAAAGTTGTATTTTATCTGATTTTCTATGCAATTCACAAATAAATCGACAACAAAATAAATAAATCAACAAAACCCAGTCTGAAACCTGAACAGAGTGTTTCTTTTTCTAATTAAATTTACTTTAGATTTAAACATCTACCAGTTCAATGCTTAAAATAAAAATATAATAAATCAACATAAAATAAAATTCATCAATAGTATTAGAAATATTAATCATTATTAAAAAATCGTTCTGAGACAAACCCATCTGAGTTTCCTTCAGCTTTTTTGTCAATATGTATTATAGAACAGAATTTCAGCATCAAAAATTTCATTCTGCTAATGCAATTTGTCTTGTTATGGAGAATGCGCTTCTGTTCAATAGAACGATAGTTTGTATTGATAGAATATACTGAAGAAGGATACTGTTAGATGTGGTTGCTACCTTGATTTTTTTATTCTTACTATATTATAATTCACTACACAATAGTTTCGTTAATATTAAGTATCCATGATAAAGAGTTTGCACTTAAACTCAATATATCCCAATCTAGTATTCTAGATAAAGAGATTGCTAACATTCAATACAATAGTATAATTTTCCATTTCTATAAAAACAACCAATATGCAATGCATTATTGTCAATATCTCTCCATCATTATTTGTTGAAAGCTTTCTCAACATTTGATCTGGCTATACCCATATATTTTATACCATCAAAATTATTTTGAAAATATTTCTGATAAACATACCTTTCAAAATTATTATGGTTAACGAAAGAAGCTTATGCATTCACTTTTACTGCATTCATCTTGTTGTCTGGATTTTCTATAACTGTCTTGTTCTGAATAAGTCTGAGCTCAATTAGTGCTGGTGGTATTTTACCACTTGGTTGAATTGCTGTAAATAAAATAACTTAGTAGGTACGTATCATAAATATAAAAATCGATCTGTAAAATGTCTAGTTAGAAAAACTGTGATTTTGTCACACTTTTTCATTGAAAGGGTATCCAAGTAGAACCAGTTATACTACTAATTGGTTATACCGTACTCGTATATCGGCGAATATCGTAAGTTTTTACGATCATTTGCTATCGTAAACATTACGATACGATTTAAAAGATTAATTCTTTCCCTATATTTTTTACAGTTTCGAGTGCAAAGAAACGCATAACGACGACGAAACATCGAAATAAAAGAAGTGTTATACGATAATCGACTTGAAGTGTTCAATAATAAAGATTTTATTATTTTTAAATCAAAGCTTAATTGTCATTGAACGAAACGGTCTCATATCATTGCGTTCTACTATAGACTACTGTATTTACTTCGACATAAAGTACATATTGGCGTGTAGGCTCGGGACTATTTGTTCGACGAAGACTGTTTTGATCCGAAACGTAAAACGGTTCTAGCGTCGTGGAACATAAAACGGTCCTTGAAACCGGTTCGTCTTTAGAACGCTCACACCTATCAGCAATAGTGAAAGTTAACTTTTTCACAATCACAATTAGACCAGAGTCGATAATTTTTGAGACCAAAAAAAATTATAGTAGGGTGAAACCCATTACAAAAGGTACAGAATATAACAAACATGAAAGGAAAAATAAATTACGGGCGATCTGAGGTCGGGAAGGGGGAGGGGGTGAGTTTTTAAGGGTAAAAAATGGTTAATCTCGATTTCCGGTAAAACTGCAAGTCCTATGAAAAAAAGTTAAATGGCAAAGTTGTAGGTAATAAAAAGATGTACAACTTTTGTATCGACACTTTTTTCACATAACCTCAAAATTTATGTGAAAAATGCGAATGACCGAGTTTTTGGTTTTTGATTTTTTGCAAAAAAAAATATTTTTTCACGAAATTTGGTGAAAACTTACCTTTGTATGTCCCAAACATACAGTAACTTTTTTGATTTAAAATATTCATTTTTTCACCTTATTTTGACTTAATATCCAAAAAGCACCCTAATTTTCAATCGAAAATTCTCACGTCAAAATATCTGCTTTTTTAAAAAAATTGGCGTGTTTTTTGTTTGTTGAAATCTCTACTTTCTGATGGTATAAAAAAAATATACACTACTATGGTAAATGTTCTCAAAAACTGCAAATTAATAATGAAAAAAACTCGAATCCGAAAATCCTATTTTTAATCAATTAGAGTATATAGTACATTTGGTGAGAAATATAATGGTTACCTGGAAGAAAATTTTGAGGTGTTCTTTCCGAATTTCGACTTTGTCACCTCGTATTTTTGCCGCTCGCGCCGCCCATATTGGAAAAATGGCGCTTAAAAGCAGTTTATTGACAATGGTGTCGATTCTGGCATGATTCTCTAAACCTAAACTTAAATTTGACAATAGTATATCCTAGTCAATCTCTATACAGAATGAAAAGGAGAGACTGATGTTAAATTTAGTTTTAAGTTTAGAGAATCACGCCAGAATCGACCTCAATATCTCCTTTCCAACTAATTTTACGATAAAAACAGTTAATACAAAACGAAACTAGAGACAATTGTCTACAATTTATGTATCTACCTTTTTTTTCATAAAGTCAATAGTTTAACGTACGAGCGCCGTAAAGTGTACTCCAATGCGCATTTTGGCCAAAAGCTCATTGCCACACGATCTGAGTTAGAGTAAGTGGCGCGTTTTTTTTAATGTGGTATCCCGAATAGGCCTAATCCACATGCAATTTAATCTGCTAAAATTTAGCGTATTCTCCTTCGCTTTGTTGTTCTCGATGGACCAGGTGTTGCATATTCATCGTCCGTGTTATCAATCGAAATGTCACAGACTGGTATTTCATCCACAGCATGGGTCTATTATAGTATAATATATCTATAGTGAGGAGCTCGACGGCGCAAGTGCTTAGCGCGTTCGGCTGCGATCGTTGAAGTTAAGCAACTTTCGCAGTGGTCGGTCATGGGATGGGTGACTAAAAATTTACTATCTCGAGTTCCTCCGTGCTTCGGAAGGCACGTTAAGCCGTTGGTCCCGGCTGCATCTGCAGTCGTTAGCACCCGCCAATCCGCACTGGGCCCGCGTGGTGGGTCATGGCCCAATCTCCCTATTCCATCCATAGGGAAGGCCTGTGCCCCAGCAGTGGGGACATTAATAGGCTGATGATGATGATATCTATAGTTAGTATAGTTTAGATTTACATTAATTTTATAACTCACAAATACAATGAGTTGAAATTAAATGCCACAGGTTGCATGAATAATGAATAATTCATTTTATAAGATTTACGAACAAAACGTGCGTTGGAGTACACTTGCGGCGCTCGTACGTCAAAACTATCGACTTTATGATGTCTCTAGTTTCATTTTGTATTATCTGTTTTTATCGTAAAATGAGTTGTTTTTCAATATGGCGCGGCGCGCGCGGCAAAAATACGAGGTGGTAAAGTCGAAATTCGGAAAGAGCACCTCAAAATCTACAAAATTACCAATTTTCAAAACTCCCGGAAAACTTTCCAGATAAAACTACCAAATGCTAATAAAATCTCGCCAGTAAAAAATTATGTCGTGAAGTGACGTTATTTTTTTTTCCTTTTGTTCCTTCCAAAAAAGAAGCAAAGGAAGCTGTCTAGATAAAACCTTGTTAAACCAAAGAGAATAAAAGAAACGCATGGACTTGCGAAAACGATCTATGGTAATGGAGAACGAGTGAAAGATCACCTAAACAGAGGCTTAACAAACACCTATCTCTCTCTTCAACCAAGCAAAACTCATGTGACGTATTTAACACGTTACAAGAGAAAGCTAGTGCCCCAGCAGTGGCACTTCAATTAATTGATGATAAACTTTCATCCCACTTCACTCACCTCTAGCATATTTTCACAAGAAAATGAAGCTTGTGTTTTTCCAATTTTCCCTATATAATCATCAATGTCAATGGTTTTGCAGTCATGTCATACTAAATATTAGTATGAATTTTTAATATTTATATTTTCTACTTTGAGCTATTTATGGATTGATATGTTACTCACCTCTAGCTTTCTTATATGTGTCTAAAACTATACTTTGCATAGTTGATATGGTTTTCTCAAGTGTTAGTTTGACATCATTGTTTGTCTTATATGACCATGCTAGGAAAAGAGCTGCAAAGAGATCTCCTGTGCCAGTGAATGTGGCATCTTGCTTCTTCATGTCTATCTTGTAGCAGGAACCGCCTGTCACAAAAGATAAATTTGTAAGTTAATTTATTAAATAAATAATTTATTATAACTATATATTACTTTTTAACAATAAAATACTATCTGCATAGTAAAAAGGAGATAAGAATAATAAATACAATTTGCTTTCCAGATTTATTTTTTTAAATAATTTAATGTATGCAAATCTATATTATAGATGTTAAACACTTGTTTATTTAAGTCGAAGTTTGTTGACATTATATTGTTTTATGATACAAAGGGACTGGAATATGAGAAAACTAAATATTTTTTTACAGTATTACTTGATTTGGTCATACCTTTTGTACTCGCAATTGCAATTATATCCCCGTCATTATCTAAGTCTGTGCTGGACAAAACCACAGTTTTCACTCCTTTATCATGTAGAGCACCAATCGCCTTCATAGCTTCTGTCAGATCAGTTATATTAATTCCAGTTAAAAGTTCAGCTTCAAATTGATTAGGTGTCAAAATGTCTGCCAATGGAACTACTATATCTCTATACACTGGTAGTATCTCTTTGGGGACATACATTTCTCCATTATCACCCATTACTGGATCACACACTGTAATTTTTATAAAAAAAATAATGCTAAAATTTTACTAAGGAAAATGGTATCAATATATTTTTATTATCAATTACAATTAATCTTGAAATGCTAGGTAGGTACATTTTTATAAACAAAAAAGAAATTAAATTTTAGAAAAGATATAAGATGTTATTATAGAATAATTTTTTGTTCAAATCTAATTTCTGGATTTTTTAATAATTTCACTATTAATAGTTTAATTAAAAATAGTTTAGGGAAGACACAATTGTTAACTTAATAATTAAAATATTTTGTTATACTTTATTCAACTTTTAACTGCTATCTCAATTTCAAGAGAATAATCTATTCAAAAAGGATCCTTTTTATAATTTCCATTAAAATAACTCCAACTAAATGTCACAAGTAATTAAATAAAATTCTGGGAAAATTATAAGAGTTTTTGCTATCACATGGACTTAAGCAAAAAGCAAAAATTCTAAGCATTCAACTTTTTGACCAGGTCATCCCCTGGGAGGACCAGGTCAAGTACTTGGGAGTCTTGGAATGTTTATCAAACTAATAAAGATATTATTATTATATTATATCTTACCTCACCCAGCCATAGAGATACTATCTTACTAATACTTAAAAAAAACAAGCAATTACCTGTCATTAAGATATTATAAGTCTACAAACTTGTTAATAATGTAATTAACAGCAACAATAGTGCAGACAGTTCCAGAACATTAGATTTAGTAATTACATCACTTCTTATCTTAATTAAATAAAATCAATGGAAACAGCCTTGCTGATAACATCATGACAATCTTAAATGAGAACTTACCATAAACAAGAGCTGGATTCTTTTGCTTTAACTTTTTAATGATTTCTGCTATCTGTTTTAGGGAGTCAGGAGATCTAGAATAACCTGTTAGAAAATGAGTGTAATGATCCACCTCATTCAATATTAACCCCTGCACCAGTTCTTCTAGTTCCTCATTTTTCAGGACATTACCCTTGATATGTTTGTATGCTGTGTGTGTTGAGAATTGTACTGTATTTATAGAATCAACTTCAAAACCGAGCACCTGAAAATCATCATTAATAATTAAAAAATAATGAACTATCCATTTTTTATTCACTCAATGAAAGTTCAGTTCTGGATTATAATCCAGTTGATAATACGAGTTAGTGTCCATTTCATAAACTTACCTGTAAAGGAAATACGGCACTTTTATTGCCAACATATCCATGCACAACATGGCTTTGGATGGAGAGCACCCTTGGAGTATTCTCAAACATAATACCTACTTTATTTTTGAATTCAAGTTGTTGAAGTAGAAGGAGTAGGTACGTCTAATTACACCAAATATTTTAATGGGAATGAGCACAGATGGAATGAGGATAACACAGGTCTTTATTGCTACAACTTATGTTACTCTACCAAGTTTACATCTATTACTGATAAGAACAGTGTTGCCAGTACCTGCGTCGTGTTTCGGACGATTCGGAATCAGAAAAGGAAGGATTTTTAAACAAAAAGGACGGGCCTGCAGAAATATTAAAAGAAAGGCAGAACTCTATTTACCTTACGTGTTGTGTTGTAACGCGATCTGATTCATACATTTAGTACGGTTAGAACTATTCATTATGTTGTTACAACGTCAATATTTATTTAATATAGAAAACCTGTTGGAATGATTGGAACAGTTCAAACCCAAGCATTTTTGTCTGTAATATAATCAAACACTTTGTAATAAGCTTTTTTAGTAAGTGCTTTTTTTCTACTATCTTTGGATTTATTTATGGTTAACTCTTGGATATTGCTTGGTACTTTATTGTATAAGCGAACACAAAGACCCTTAAATGAATTAATGATTTTGTGAAGCCTAGTAGCAGGTAAAGTTAGTTTATTTTTGTTTCCTAATGGTATGTGAACATTACTGTTTTTAAGAAACAATTTTTTTTTCCAAGTATAAATTTTCGTATATGTATAGTGATGCGACCGTCATTATGCCAAATTCTTTAAGCTTATCTCTTAGGGATTCTTTAACTTTAATATAGGAAAAACGAAATGTATGAAATTTGTATTACCAAATGTAAAACAGGTAAAAACCAGTGTGAATGTAAAGGATAGGAATGTGGGCCGGACACAGTATTCTTATGGATCGCTGTAGATTCTAAGCTTCCATGGGGCCCATATATTGATAAATTGTCAAATAGGCTTGGCTCTGCAGCAAATGCCGTAATGCCGCTGAATGAATGTACGCCAGTCACCGGATGGAGATACGGTCAGATTAGTATACTTTAGTTATTTCCATAGTGTAATGTCATACGGAATTTTACTGTAGGGAAACGCTGCCGACATTCAAACTACTTTTGTGCTGCAGATAAGAGCTATTCGATCAATTTATAATCATAATTAATAAATTATTTACATTGAACCCGTGGATTACGGTACCTTAGAGATAAAACTGTTCACGTCGTCAATAACTGTTTCCTTGCGTTTGAGTTTAAATAAAAATGATGTATCCGCTAACAATACTATTTCATGGTTATCTCTTACATAGTAAGGTAAGTCATTAATATAAATTAAAATTAAGAAAGGACCGAGGATTTTTTACCGATTAAAAGTTTATGATATGGTATTATTTTTATATAAAAAATCGAATTAAAAAATCCCCATTTCCATCAAACTCAAATTTCTTTCCCCCATTAATCCCCCCAAAAATATATTCCCTCCATCGCTTTAAAAACCCCGCAAATTTTGGAGGAATCTCCCAAATCTGGCATCAGTGAATGACATCTTTGTTGCTTGGAGAATGACATTTCTCTTTTTATTGAAATTTTCCCTGTCCTAAGTAACGCAAAGGTACCATTTCCATACAGTATAATATATAATATACGGCTCAAAATGTATCGATCTAATCAGCTGGCCTATTTGCTAACTTTTTGACATTTACAGTGACAGAGAAAATTGCATTCACATCGATGCTTTCCAAAACAAGTATCTTAGTGGCGTTATAACAAAGCAGTAGTGGATCATTAAATAGCTCTGTGTTTTTCACTTCCAGCTGTCAAAAGCAGTTAGTGAATAAGCGTACTATACACCTAGCACGAACCAAAATCGAATTTGTAACGTTTGCGAGTCCGAAATGTCATTGTCAAATGTGTACTGATTTTTAGTTCCCGTTACGTCCAAAGTGGTGCTGCTGTTCAAGTTTCCATACAAAATTTGACATTGACATTTCTGTTTGCAAACTATTCGAATTCGATATTGGTTCGTGCTAAGGGTACTACTCTGCTTTTCCCTTCGAATAAAATAAAAAGAGAACATACGGTACGCTCATACTAGCATCAAATAAAATATGAACCGACTCAACTACATAAGCAACTCTCACAAACGCACACTTCTATTTATAAACATTCAACGCTGCGCGAGCGAAACGACGATTACGTAAATAACATTCACCACAAACCGTAATTTTTGAGAAAATAATGGTTTTTACAGAGTTGTACGAATGAAAAGTGTTGCAGAGGCATTTCTTATTTGATTTTGAACTATTTGTGTTATTTATAAAAGCAACATAGGCGTTGTTTTATTTTTATAACGCAGAATATACGCAATATTGTTATATTGAGTACACATGCAGCATGTTTGAATGTCCAATTGTGACTAAAGCGAATTGTGGTCATGCGCTACAATTTAAGCGGATCACTTTTGAGCCGCTAGTGCCGTATCTTCCCTTTTTACCCGACTGCGCAATGCAAGAGCGCGAAGCGCGACGCGCAGACAGGGGGCCGTACTACGCCATTACGCGTAGTTTTATTCCGCAACTATCCTCTAGATCTCCGACAAGAAACTTGTAAGTTTTTTTGCCTCGAGAGACTGCCTGGCGCCATCCCTTGCCAGCGGAGACTGCCGCGCACCCAGCCACAGGCTTTGAACGCGCCTTAGGGCGCTGCTCGGCCAGGATTGCGCAGGCGTAGCCCCCGGTACGCAGCATGGCTGACCAGCCAACCCCGACGCCGTCAACCTCGCAAGGCCTCACTCCGATCTCGGACGAGGAACTCGCCAGCGTTTTAGCCAGGTTGATCGAGATAGCATCGCCCGGCGTCAAATACACATTTGACGCCACGATGGTAGCTCGGCTCGTCGAGTCCGGCATGTTGTCGGACAGACTGAACCGTTGGCTGAGCTCCTACGTTCGACTGTTGGAGTTTGAGGCCGGCGAAACACCTGCCCTCTGCCCCACCGACGAGATGGCTCTGGAGGCGTCGCAGGTACTCAGCGGCTTGCCGCTCATGCTTCCGCCTCCATCTACGCCACTCCCTCGCAAGCGCCGCCTCGCCACTTCCTCGCCAAAAGCCGAGAACAAGCGTCCTCGAACAGGACACCCGCGCGATCCGCGCCTACGCCAGTCACTCAGTAGCGGTGACCATCCAGAGCCGACACCACCATCACCATCGCAGCAGCCAACTCCAGCAGCGCAGCGCGAGTACCCCCCACGGAGAGTAATCGCAGCCACTGCTTTACCGACACCATCACCGGTAAGCTATGTGCAAGTCGCGAAAAGTTTCGCACCTACCCACAATCTCCACCCACCGCCGCACGTGCAACTAGCTCCCGGCACAGTTCCCACAGCCCAACGGGCACATAAGTACCCGCCGCTAGTGGTTGAGCACTTGCCGGACTGGCCCACCCACATAAAACTCCTGAGCGCGGCCAAGGGCGTCCTTGGCCACGCGCCCAACGCACGCCCGTTTGGAACGGGCATAAGATTCACACCAGCTGATGGCGATGAGTACCGCATCATCCAAGCTCACCTCTCCAAGCTGGAGGGGCAGAGCGGACAGAGCTGGTACTCATACGCCCTCCCTGAGGAACGCAGTCTAAAGGTAGCCATTCGAGGGCTGCCTTTTAACACCGAGCCGCAGCAAGTCATCGAGGCCCTATCTGCCAAGGGCTACGAAGTCGAGCACGCGAAGCAGATCCGGGCGCGAGCAGGCGTGATCCCAGCCGTATACTCGGTGAGTGAGCTCCTGAGTATGGCCGGAATCACCATAGAAGCATAGAGAGGCAAGAAGGGCCCTGCGCAGTGCCATCGCTGCCAGGGCTTCCGACACTTAATAAATTTTAATACGAACAATTGGCGTATTGAAAGGACCTGGCAGATGGAATAAAGCTGGACTGTCGGGAAACGGTAGGGCAGATTCCAACCCACTTTTAGAACTGCCCTTTGCGCTCTCTCCAGTTTGAGAAGGTAGGTTTTAGATGAGCCACCCTATGTGCAAATACAATATGTAGCGCTTGACTGAACCAGTGCGAGGTATACCATTCTGATCACCTCTACTCCAGCAACACGTTGTAGCCTTTTGAAAATAAATATTAATTTACGCAGCCTAGCAGAAAGCGCAAGAATGTGGGGTTGAAAGGATAGATGTTGGTCAAGTAATACACCCAAATATTTAATGCAATTTGTTCTCTCAAGGCAGGGGCATGTGCAGGTGGATCTTGAGCAGCATGTGTGAGCGAATATATTATGGTCTCGCTCAGGTTGGCCCTGTTTCGTCATGGAGAAGGTCAGATATTTGGTTTTCTCAACATGTAAGGTTAGGAGATTCCTACTCAGCCATCCAGTCACCGCATCCAAACCAGCCTGTGCAGCATCGAAAGCATCCTTCCACTCACGAGCGTGGAACAGCAGGGCAGTATCATCAGAGTAGGTAAAAATAGAGCCTTGTTTAAATTTATGGTCGCAAAGATCATTGATATATACCAGAAACAGCGTTGGGCCGATGACACTGCCCATAAAGGTAGATTACAAAGATAAACGTTGAATAATATAAAACTAGATTAAGTTTAATAGTAAGTGTATGGCATTTCTGTGCGAGACGGAACGCACCAAGTTAAGGTTCGGCTCGGTCACCAATCCGTATGGTGCTACATGACGCGATATAAAAATCGACGCTGCCATTGGTCGCAAAAATATTGTTCCCAACCCCTCTTCTTCGAATTATGTAACAGCAATTTTTTGAATATACAATATACGTTATTAGACTTTCAAAGATATCACACCTTTTATTTAAATTTCCAAAATCTGTCTCAAAACTCCGTAGCTAAGCATAGACTCAGACCAAATTAAAAGTATAGACGGAGTCTGCCGAACCAAAAAGTGAAGCCGATAAAACTACGCCTCGCCGTGTACATACACAGTTACACGCACACACATGCAACGAAACTACGCCTTGGCTTCTCAGTCGAGCTATCCCGACGCGCGGAGTTAGACGTTATAATAAATAACAATATTTATTAGAGAAAATGCCGAATTGTGTAGTGAAAACGTGTAAAAACCAATCTTCCAAGAATAAAAAACAGGATGGAATCACATTTCATACGTAAGTAAAGTTATAAACTGCTATTTTCAATTAATCAAAATCAAATTTGAG